GGGGGTTAAGTGAGAAATTTTCAATTTAAGGAGGTAAAGTGAGACCAAGCGTCCGTTTTAGAGAGTGAAACAGTAAATAAACCTTCATTTAATTTTATTTGACAATGGTCTTTTCTTTCTTTTTTTCCGAAATGGACAATGGTAGAGTATGAGATTTGAACTCCGATTCTCTTTTTATGAAAGAGAAATTGATCTCAAGTCTCAGTAGAGTGGGTTGATCAGCTGATGCGGCGGCACAAAGTAATCCCATCACCCACAGGAAGCTGGCAAATTTCAATCCTTGGATCAACAGCAATATCCCAGTTAAGCTCCAACAACGAAGTCCCTATAAAACCTAACGTACTTCCTCAACGGTGCATCAGGTGGGGCCACCACAGACCCATTCCAAAGGGTGTTGTCGTAGCCAATCACTCCCCCAACCTTCACAAGCTCAATGATCCTCTTGTGGTAGTTCAAGTAATTATCCTTGTCAGCATCCACGAAAATGAAATCAAACGTTCCATGATATTTTCCCTGCAGTAGTAATTAAGGTTAATTACAATTTTTAATCACAAGTCAGCATCAAGTTTTCAGTTAATTAGATAGGCGGTTATGGACCTACTTACATCTTCAATCATTTGGTCAAGAACAGGTAAGGCTGGACCTTCTCTGAAGTCAATCTTGTGAGAAACGCCGGCGTTTTGAATAATGGGCAAACCCTGTTCGTAATTCTCACGGTTGATGTCCATTGCCAATATCTTAAATCATTATACTCAAACCATGTCAATACCTAAAATCATTATATTCATGAATATCATGGATTAAAAAAAAAAAAGATGAGTCATGAAGCATACATGTGTATAGCTGAGATGTATGCCATATAACGTGTATCTCATCTCATCCATCCATATATAATCTAACAAGTTGAGATGATCTTAAAATCTTGGTGTTATATTGTTTTATGGATAATGTTTTCTTGTCAGATTTATTTATGTTGTCAAATTGTGAATTTGGACCACACGTTCTGGCAAGAATCAACTTGATTAGCGATCCAAATTTACATAAGCACGGATCGGAAAGTCTGACAAGAGAACATTGCTCATTGTTTTGTAAACGATAATAACAATCGGTGATGTTTTTGTTATTAAATACTAGCTATAGCATTGTTGTTGTTGACCTTTCCATCTTGGGGAAGGGCGAGGGCAGTAGCAAGCAAAGAGTAACCAGTATAAACGCCAATTTCCATAGTGTTCTTAGCTTTGATAAGCTTGAGAAGCATACTCAAGAACTGTCCTTCATCAGGTGAGGTGGCCATGACATTCCTTTTTGATCATAAAAGAAAGAAAATGTCAGTTCTTCTTACAAACCCAAAACGTATGCACAACATATGATGATATGCCGCCGCCTTACCAAGGGTGTTTTGCTGTCAACTTGCGGAGCGATTTCATGGGTTCAGGCTCTCTTGGGTGCACACTAGTTTCAAGTATGTAGTGTCAATTAAAAGCAAACAAAAACAAATCAAAGAGCAAGAAAAATAAAATGCATTTAAGGACATCAAATATGTAAATATATATACTTCGTAAAGAGCATCGCTCTCTAAGAGACTCTTGTGGCCACCAGTTTGCTCTTGCTGCCCTTCGGGATCAGAAGCCATTAGGTATACATTGTTCTTAGTTTTCAGGCTTAATTGGCTGCTTTATAGAAGTGAAAATTGAGGTGCTTGCTGGCCATGGAAGTCGTAGAACATAACAATAAGTCAACATCGATCATTGACTTTTTATAGTATCTAGGATCAGAGTCGGCCCATAGCATATGCGGTCTGCGCGACCGCACAGGGGAACGTTCCATGATATTTTCCCTGCAGTAGTAATTAAGGTTAATTACAATTTTTAATCACAAGTCAGCATCAAGTTTTCAGTTAATTAGATAGGCGGTTATGGACCTACTTACATCTTCAATCATTTGGTCAAGAACAGGTAAGGCTGGACCTTCTCTGAAGTCAATCTTGTGAGAAACGCCGGCGTTTTGAATAATGGGCAAACCCTGTTCGTAATTCTCACGGTTGATGTCCATTGCCAATATCTTAAATCATTATACTCAAACCATGTCAATACCTAAAATCATTATATTCATGAATATCATGGATTATAAAAAAAAAAAGATGAGTCATGAAGCATACATGTGTATAGC